CCAATCTGAGTCTGGCAGGTCCACAGCAGGTCACAGCCAGGCAGCAGCCCCCACTGCCAGACTGCTGCAGTGGGTAAAGGGTGCAGCGTACTCTCAGGGCTGCTTCAGCAGTCCAGCTGGCACAAGGGGTAGTGTCCCCAGGTACCAATTGGCTGGGCCCCAGAAGCTCCTGAGAGCTCCTGAGCTACTTGCCAGGGCAGCTTTTTATAGTGCTGGGGACAGCACAGGTGCTGGCCCCGGGCTTTAGCTGCCCCTGGCTAAAGATCCAGGAGGAGCCAAGCAGGGTTATTTTGCCCCTAGTGGCACAATTTGCTCCACAACAAAGTGCATGTCCAAGCAACGTGTGCTGAGGCAAAAAGCCCCAGCTCAAATTTGCACCACTTCTATTTAAGCTGCTGCAAGTGCACCTGCTTGCATGTGTGGACACGCCCCTTTTAGCATGTTTTAAGGGAAATCACGTTTAGAAATGCTATTCCAGATTTACACCAGAGCAACTGACAGAATTTGACTAATTAATCCTAGTATGTGGCCATAGTCCAGGTTGGGCAATTAGGTTCTGTTTATCTAAATCATTTGTGCAGCTTCAGTTGAAACAATGATATACTTTGCTTCCTTTCCTCAATCATTTCTGCCAATATTGAAAGTTAGAAAAAGGAGCATTTGTTGAGGGAAAATGAGGAATGCAGACATATTTTTCTGGCTCCGATGAATTACATTTGACTCAGAGAGAATTTGGGATGGACAGAGTAGACAAACGATATATTTTTTTTGCTAAAAAATACAAACTACCCCACCTCAATATGAGAGTTGAAACTTATACCCAAACTGCTGAGTAGTGCTGCTGTTTGCTTTTGCACATGTTACCGTGTTTCTTCCCACCTCTAATTAGCTATATGTCAGTAAGAGAAGCGATGCTTATGCAGTTTCTAAAGGCTTGGGATAAATGGTGGCAAATAAACATATTTATTTTAGAAATTTTAATCCTTTTCCAAATAAATTCTACTAGCAGTTCAGATTTTGATTCTCTTCACAGTCTTGGGTAACAAACTTGTCTCATGTTGGTTTTACACCATTGTAATTCAGTTGGCGAACTGGAGTTACTCTTTTCAGTGGGAATTTTATTGTCTGCATAGTAGAACTGTATTTCTTTCTATTCCTAAGACCTGAAAACAGGGTGCTCTTCCAATAGGTTGGACATCTATTAATAATACTAACATTCACAATCAGCCTAATACTGTATACAATTAAAAGCCTCAATAATTAATTTTTCTTAAACTTAAATTTCGTCAACAGCCATATAGTAACAAAATTAAGCTAATTATATGAAAATGCATATTTTAGGAACAATTAATATTTTTGTTAAGAAAGTAGAATATGCCTATAAATTACATTTCAATGTTCAAGTCCAGGAAAAGAAAAGAGATGGAATCTGCTTTCCAGTATTCTGGTCCCCAGAAAAACTGGAATATTCCTTGGTTTTGAAATATGTGAGTTTAAAAACAACTTGGTTTTAAAATATCGAGTTCTGCAACTCTGAATATACTGTTTATATTCCTCAGAAGTAGGTGGGCTGTGCTGATTTTGGTAACTGAATAAGTTACTTAGGACAAGAATACTCAAAAAATACTTGTACAGGTTTTTTTCCTCTCTCTCATTTTATTCTCCATTTTTCATTCCTCCTTTGTGTTTCTAAAATCACTGTTATGGAGTAATGCCATGTTACTTTAAACATCTTCATGCCATCAGAAATCTATGCCATGTATTTTGCCGTTAAACGAAAATTTCATTATAGTACACATAGTATCTTGCTGTTGTTAAATGAGGAATAAAAAGAGTACGCAGATTGTTTAAGAAGGATAAAGTTTAATATCCAGCTAAACTTTTAATTTTTAAATTCTTGTTATCTATACCTAACAATATTTAATCCTTGCTAGGTTTTTGCTGACTTCTTGGCCTCAGTGAACTGTGGCAGTAATTTTAAAGTTTAACTATGTATTGTCTGACAAAATTTTTCCTTTTATCGTTTTTTGAAGTGATCACCGTCTGATGTCTGTATCTCTGCCTGTTTTGTATTACAGGGCAGGAAGAACAGAAGGGAATATATTTGCATCTGTTATTGCTCCTGGGTAATTTATTACTGGGATTATTGGAAGTTGTAGTTGCTAGATAGGGTATATCATGATGAGGAGAAATCCAGTTCTGTGTAACTGCTAACTGAAAACTATGTAACAAAAGCCTCCTATTTCAGTTGTAGAAAGATGAGATTTGAGGAATGGTCTGAAGAAAAATCTTATTAAATAACATAGCAAGAGCCTTTGGGAGACATCCAATAAAAGCTACTTAGATGGAAGTGTGTCATCTCCCTCTGATTTTAGAGAAAGTGAGTCAGGTATTTGTTGCTTAACATTTTATGTTATTTTAAGACTTTTACATTTTCTTTTTATCAATAAAAATTGCCATGAGGAAATGGGTGTGCAGCTGTACTTGATCAGTATGGGAACTTCTTTGCCTACCCTAGTTGTAAATCTGCCTGTCGGCTAAAGACGCATGTAAGTGAAGATAGTGCCATATCCTAGGTTTTCATCTGTTCCATCTATGCTACGTCTCACCCAAATCCCAGTAACATTGTTCAGGCAGACAGCTGACAAGTCACAAGCTTTTCACTTTGATAAAATCCATGGCACTTGGAACAAAATACTATAATCTTTACAGCAATATAAACAGGACCAAATGAATACTTTCTGCAATTCTAGTGATTTACATTTTTAGTCAAATTATTTACTCTAGGGAAGTCAGTGTGCTAGAGGCGATATATTTTATTAAACCAACTAGACAGTTGCAAAAAAAGTTTTCTCTTTATTTGCAAGCTTTTGGGCACAAATGCCCTTCCTCAGGCACAGGAGAATGCAAAGATTGTAAAATTTCTCCCTGGTAGAAATGAAAATTCATATTTCACTCGCAATACTGGTTGGAAAAGTTCATTTTTCATTTTATGAAAATTAGACTTGGATAAAAGTTGGAGCAGTCTATTTACCTCAAAGGTGCCTGATGGCAAACCGGATGTTGAATTATGCTTCTTTCTTGTTACGATGTTTAATATTTCACAGGAGGCTTGGTGATAGAAGGTTCTCCTGGGCCAGGAATTTCTCTTATGTTGAGGTTGTTTTTCAGATATGCAAATTTGGCTTCAAACAAAGGAGCAAGGGTGTCAGCTTCCAGGTCTCAAGGTGCTGAATTTTGCTTCCTTCTTGTAAAATTATGAAGTTCTTATTTGAAACCTTACTCTAGGGAAGGATTTTCTCCAGTTCCTCTCAAAGAGCAAAGTCCTTGAAGCTACTGAGCTCTGCATTTGAGGCAATGAACATCCTCATTCTTACCTTGTTGACCTATAGTTCTATCTTATATGGTCACGTCATAATTATTACAAGAGTATAAAGCAAATCTTTTATTTGAATTTCTTTACTTTTACTTCAGCAATATAAATCTTTCAGCTTTATCTGAAAGTTGTTCATTTCTCACATTTTTCTTGTCTGATAGAAGAAATTCACTAG